CAGGACTTTATGATAGGAAGCAATTGAAGATTTAAGATGCTTCTGTTCCATCCTGCATACTTGTCTCGGGTCAGTGAGTGAGAAATTTTGAAGCTAGAGGGTTAGCATGACAGCATTTTCTGAAGGATGCCAACAATGGCGGCCCCTATATAATTTACTGATGACAGTGACTTTTAGGCGTCATTCACACTGGCGTCAGAGTTTACCGCCCCTCCGAAAAGTGATCCGCGGTGGAGGGGGTTGAGTGGTGATAGGGGGGGGATTTTTCATCACATGCTATGCCACAAAATAATATGCAGGGCGCTTAGGCTCCGTTCATACCTGAGCATTTCCAAACGCATAAAAATGCGCATTTTGATTAAAAGAAACACACTTATGGTGTCCTTATTATTAACTGCACCCCAAACGCAGCCAGGAAGGGACGAAATAAATAAATGTGGAACGCATGTCGCAGATTTTGCTACATTCAGAACCCCACTGAAATTGATGGGGACACTCGGTAAATACAGAAAACGAATGTGCACAAACGCGCACAAATGCAAACGACTGTGACGCGCATTGCCGCTACGCCTAGGTGTGAATGGGGTCTTAAGGCCTCATTCACACTCCTAAGAGCCGGCCTGTACAGATCCGTGCCGCGTGCACGGCCGTATCGGGCCGCTCCTGGGAAGGACAGGTGGTGCATGTGATTGTACGCAGCAGCCTGTTCTTCTCTATGGGAGTACGCCACTGTACGCTCACCCAAACTGCACATCCGTGTGGGTGTCCGTGCTTGGACGCAGATAAGATCCACCCTGTTTGCGCACGAGTACGGACACCCGCACGGATGTGCAACTCGGGTGACCGTACGGCCGCGTACTCCCATAGAGAAGAACAGGCTGCTGTGTGCAATCACAATCAGCACCTGTCCTTACCGGGAACGGCCCGATACAGCCATGCACGCGGATCTGTACAGGCCGCCTCTTAGCAGTGTGAATGAGGCCTAAGACCCTATTCACACCTAGGCGTAGCGGCAATGCCTAAGACCATATGCATTGCCGCAGCCATGATGGTTCACTTCGCGGTGCAGGAAATTTAACTTGAAATGTCACGTTGGGTAGGTGGTGCCACTTGCCAAATGCGCTCATTGATGTCAAAGGGACTGCACTGTATCCCAATTGACTTTATCGGGCATGTTTGGCAAGCAGCACCACCTCGAAATGTAACATTTGAGGTTAAATTGGCTGCACCACGACGTGAAGCTGCGGCAATGTGTACGGTCCTGAGCCACCGCCATGCTATTTTGTAGGTAGGCGGTTGGGTGGTAGTAAAATACAAATCAACCGTCTATTTTTACCACCCGTGTGAACTCGGCCTCACTCTACTTGACTGCAGTTCATGTGCCATAGGCAGTCCATATATAGATACCATATACAGGTCGATCGTCTACAGGATGAGGGTCGCCGGCGACTTTGAAGCCCCAGGATCTCATTCATTTCCTGTATGTTTCGTCTCTGAAAGTGTCATGTGAAAAAAAGATTGTATTTTCAGCCACAAAAGTCCCCTCGTCTCTGAGGGGGATCTTTTCATCTATTCTGCTTCGTTTAACATGTCTTGTTAACATGTGTTGAAGCCATTAATTTAGCACCTGCCAGCAGGAAACTTCAAAGCTGGTTCTTCCCTTTTGTTATTCTTTGCTGAACTCTGAGAGGATGTAGAATCTAGAAGAATCTTCCTCAGTTCAGTCCACAGCAGCCTCACCATACGGCCAGCATGCAGCACGTTCGGTTTGTGATCGGTCTGACATCTCAGTATCATTAGTGACTGTATGAAGTTTACACATTCAATCAATCCTAAGCAATGACTGTGGCCAAATCAATTCATGTATCTGTTTTGCAGTCACTGTTTGGGGCAGCACAAATGCATAGATATCATGTGGTCACTCATTCATACTTATAGGATACAGTTCACAAATCTGCCACTTGTGGTGTTTTACACTATTGTTGCACAGGGGGGCTGCTTTGTGAATGTGCCAAAAAAACTGCCAATAGACAAGAGGTGACCGGCAATTTGTCTCATGGCTATAGGAGGCACCCGACTCCAACACATGAGGCATCAGACCCTAGACATTGATGTTGGGAGTTTATGTATCAGAGCTCTTGGCAATGAGCACAGTGTCCTTACCTATGCCACCATTATACTAACCATGCCTGTAACCCTAACACTAACCCTCCCTGTAACCAAAAAACAAACCTTCACTGTAACCCTAACAGTATACCTCCCTGTAACCCTCAGACTATCCCTCCCTGTGAAGGTGCCCATACACTGTACGATTATCCCGCGATCGTACGATAATCGCAAAGTGTATGGAATGCATGCGACCGTTTCTACTGTACGGTCGCACGTCTTCCGTCGAACAAGCAGGCTGGAAAACCCGCTGGGAATCGTACGATTCTCGGCGGGTTAGTGGCCTGCTTGTTCGACAACTGCCGAACGGGCCGGTGTGCGCACGCACACACTGCCCGTTGAGCATTGCAGTCATGCCTGTCCAAGATGGGCAGATCGTACGCAAAAGTCTTGCGAGGGTTGCAAAGTGTATGGCCACCTTTACTCTACACTAACCCTCCCTGCAACCCTAACACTAAGCCTTCATGTAACCCTAACACTTCCCCTCCCTGCAACCCTAACACTAACCCTCCCTGTAACTTTAACACTAAGCCTTCATGTAACCCTAACACTTCCCCTCCCTGCAACCCTAACACTAACCCTCCCTGTAACTTTAACACTAAGCCTCCATGTAACCCTAACACTAACCCACCCTGCAACCCTAACACTAACCCTCCCTGTAACTTTAACACTAAGCCTCCATGTAACCCTAACACTAAGCCTCATTGTAACCCAGCACCAACCCTCCCTGTAACTTTAACACCAACCCTCCCTGCAACCCTAAAGGTGCCCATACACCTTACAATTATCTTTTCTGTGGTCAGATGGAAAAAGTGCAACAGATTGGCCCAGGTGGACATTACTCCATCCACACAGTTAAGCGTAGATGGAGAAATCTCTTGCACCTTTTCCATCTGACCACAGAAAATCTGCAGATAATTGTAAGGTGTATGGCCAGCTTAACACTAACCGTCCCTATAACCCTAAAGGTGCCCATACACTGCACGATTATCGTACGATAATCGTATGCGATCGGTTTTTCGTACGATAATCGAGCAGTGTGAACGGAGACGTGAGACCGTTTCTACTGTACGGTCGCACGTCTTCTGTCGAACCAGCATGTTCGAAAACCAGCCGGGAATCGTACGATTCTCGGCTGGTTAGAACGGTGCTCGGAAGACAAATGCCGAGCGGGCCGGTGTGCGCACGCGCACACTGCCCGTTCAGCATTGCGGTCATCGGAAGCCCGCCCCTCAGGGGGGGGGGGCTTGCAATGATCGAGAGTGCTAACATCCCTGTAACTTCAACACTTACCCTCCTTGCAACCCTAACACTAACCCGACATGTAACCCGAATACTAACCCTCCCTGTACCATGACACTAATCACTAACACTAATCTTCCCTGTAACCCTAATACTATCCCTCCCTGTAACTCTAAAGGTGCCCATACACTGCTCGATTCTCGTACGAGAATCGCGTGAAATCCGGCGATCGTACGAGAATCGAGCAGTGTGAACGAAGACGTGCACAGTGTATGGCCAACGTTACACTCATGCCCCCTGTAACCTTAACTAACACTCCCCGAAATTCTCACACTAACCCTCCTTGTAACCTCAATAATTACACAAATCCTCCCTTATAAAAATGTAACCCCTTATTTACATATAAACTTCAATTCCTGGACCACATATACTAAAAGGCCAACCCCAATATGCTGAAAGATCCCAGTACTGGGATTCTCTCATCTGCTGTTCTGCCCCTGCTAGCCCGGTCACTATTGATCCCCTCCCTATCAGCAGAGTCTATGTCCCCTCCTCTCTATTCTCCATTTATCAAAACAGGAATGTTCCAATGAAAAGAAAGGTTATGGAACTGCAAAGAGCTTGTCGCTGTCCCTTCACTTGTCCTAATTGGTGCAATTGACACCCGAAATGGTCACTTCACTTTGTTATATCTGGCTGTGTATGACCATCATTCATCAGAGATGATTGTCACCAGATAATGGTCAGATCGCGGCCCATTCGCACTTTTTATTTGCATGTTCACATATGACTTTTGGATCGTCCACCGGCCAAAAATTCCGCCATACTTATCTTTTTCCAGCACACCGCATGGCAACATATTTTTGTTTAATGAGGGTCAAGTGCGTTTGTTTTGCGCATTGGAGCGCCTCAAAAAGTAAATGTCAATGCACCCTACAATGCGTACACTGCATGTTAACGAGTACCACAATCTGCAACTGCGACCAAAGGGCCCATTCACATCAGAGCATTACGTCACGTGCGCTGGGGTGCTGCGATGCCATTTACGCTGACGCAACTTTGCAACGCTCCTTCTTTGCAGTGCAATGTGGTATTTCACGAATGTGCACTAGTCAATCCTGGTGCAGGAGCAATTTTTGGTCCGCTGTGGTGCGTTGGCAGCCCATTAAAAAAAATGCAATGCATGACAACATGTGACGTTAAACGAACCGCAGCCCCGGCTGTCCGATCTCATTGCGGCAAAAGATTGTCCGAAACGGATTTCCCTAACCTTACATCTTATTGCACATAAAGGGTCATATAAAGGGTCATGCCTATTTTTGCAGCATCAGATCTTCTGACCTCCATCTCACGTCTATGGCCATTCTTCTATCGGTGGTGATTTACCAAGCATGTGATACTCCAGCACAATGAAAGCCAGTGTCAGTTCTTTGTGCCTGGAGAACACACTGGGTGCTGCACAGAGCCTGTCTGGGAGGGATCTGCCATGGCGAGGCTCGGCCTCCATAGGAGGAGTTGTCTGAGAGCAGCTGAGTTCATTTAAAAACCTGCTCAATGCAGGATGACTGAGTCACAAGGAGATGTGTCTGGGAGCATTGCAGTCTATGCTGCGGCTAAACAGGCTAAACGTTGAGGTGGCATGCCCATCTATCTGTCTCTGTCCTCAATTAACCCCTCTCATTAGGAACAAAGGACACAGGGAGGGCAGGAGGCACTTATCTACCTCTGCTGGGTTGTCCTCTATCAAGACTGGGATGCTCAATAATCTGCATTGTATAAGGTCCCCCCTTCTCCTTGTCACTGCTCGCTGACTACAATACAGCCTGAACTGGGATTCACTAATAGGCTCCTAGCCGGATTGCATTGACCCTTCATCGCCGGTCTCCGCGCTGCATGGGGAGTTATCGAAGCTTCATCCTCTGCGCTTTGTGGGATTTTTAGAAACTGGAGTTTGTACGGTTCTGCCTTGTTTTTATCCTGTAGGATTCCTGGGAATCTCGGAATCCTGGATCACACGCTGGCCGAAACATGGATGACTATTACCCAGAGGTAGGTGGGGAAGGAATTCTGGTACCCCAATTGATGGTAGTTTTGTACTGTAATGGCAGTTTAGTACTGCAATTGGTGCTAGTTTTGTACTGTGATGGTAGTTTAGTACTGCAATTGGTGCTAGTTTTGTACTGTGATGGTAGTTTAGTACTGCAATTGGTGCTAGTTTTGTACTGTAATGGTAGAATAGTACTGCAATTGGTGCTAGTTTTGTACTGCAATTGGTGCTAGTTTTGTACTGTAATGGTAGTTTAGTACTGCAATTGGTGGTATTTCTTTCGCTTTCACCGTTTGCTTACCAGAATCTTCCCGACAACACCCATTAAGTCAAATTCTACGCGCTGTGCAGCCGATTTGGAATTTTCTTAAGCTTTTTCTAATTTCCTCCCCTGAATCTGTCAAAAAGCACATTGGCTGCTTGTGGTTCAGGAGGAGATAGATGAGCCACAGGAAAGCTGAATATATTGAGGTTTACCGTCCTGGTGTTCATGTGCCACCCAGGCGCCAGAGGCTTCCATCCACAGCTTGCCTCTGAAGGTATTTTGTTTTGTCCCTTTTTAGAACTGTCCACTAAAATTGGTGAACATTTGTCCCCCCTTGTGGTTGTGCTAGGTGCCCGGCATGCAATGAATAACACCTAATATACCTAAGCACAGCTGAGATGGAGCTTATGACATTTTCAGCTTCCTGATAAATTTTCTTTAATCACTTGACTGATTCTTTCCCAAAACAAAAGAGAACGGGTGGAGGTAGAATTTCATTGGTTGTAGCAATCTTGGAAAAAGTGTGAGGGTTTGAAAATTGATCACCTTCCAAACGATGGCCAACCTGAGCACTGTGCTGTTTCTTGCCCATACTGGGGTCCTCCGTGTGATACCTAGCATGCATATAATGTTTGGCATTTGTATCTCTTCATAGATCTGTATGGGTTTCCTCTTGCACATGCAGGCTATACTGTGTATCATGCTGGATGGGACATGGGCTGTATCTTCTGCTCATAGTCCTCATTCTCCTGGCTGTCTCCACTGAGCGAGCTGCTCTTGGTGGGGGGAGTGCTGTATCAAGGGCTGGCCCAGCACTTCAGCCCAAAGCCCCACGTGTGCTATCCCACCCTGCGTGTGTGTGTGTGTGTGTGTGTGTATATAACCTCATCTACTGTTGGGGTACAGGTAGACCTTGAGCTATGATCTAGGATCTTCTGGTGGCCACAGAATCTGCCAGCCGCTTGACTCATCCGGCCAGGTTGTATGGTCAATTCACAGTCGCAGCAATGGGTGTCACTTATTCGTTGACCTGAAATGCCACAGAATCTCACACGCTTGCAAGGGAGCACTCTGATCTCATCTTCGTGGTGCAGTCAGCCAGGGACCATGCCATAGGTGGTGGAAAATTGTGTCTTAGACGGCCCTTCAGAGAAGGCATGGCCCTTGGGACAAGTGTTTTAAGGGTCATGTCAACAAGCCATCCAGGAGGGTTGTCATGACATGACCCTCAGACCCATGACAACCCGTCCTGAATGCTGTTTTATCCTCTCTGGTGGTCATGTCCCACGGTGAAACAGGGGGGTCTGCTGCACCCCCAGGGGCATCACTCCCCAGGGGCAGGGGCTAATGCCGATGGCTCTTCAGTCCACAAGAACCTCTGTTGGCCCACCTATAAATTAATAAGATGGAGTCCAGAGGGTCTGCAACCCGATGCCACACCCTGGATCCCAGGCCGGACACTGCAGAGGTCACCTGTGTGCTGAACGTCAATGAACTGCAATAAGATTCTCCCAGACTGCATTGCAGGACTGATGACTGTCTGGCGTCCTGGAAAGTCTTGCAGGAGAAAAAAAAAACTTTGTGCTTGGAAAAGAGTGATGATGCAACATCCCTGTAACCCATAGCAACCAGAAATGCTCTAATGGCAGGTTGCTAGGGGCAACTGCACGGTTGTTGGTTAGTGTGGTTATTGCTGTTTTTTTTTGCATGGCCCTGGAGGTCATGAGGTCAGCAGCGGTCTTGGGTTACGTGTTCCTGAAGGAAATAGAACCGTTGCGAGCAGCACCCCTCTCTGGCGTGACGGGTCTGAAGGAGAAGGAAATATTTTGACATAGTTGCGGTTCCCGTCACCTCTCCACCTTTTTGAGGGTGTGAAAGCCGAGCACGAGGGTGACATGAAAGGAGAGGACGTTTCTCTTTTAGCTTTCTATAGTATGCGTGACCGAAAGGGGCAATCTGGTTGCTATAGGCAACAAGAACAGTCGATTTTGTCTCCTTTTTATGCGCAAATCATCATCAGTCTCGCCTCGGCCATTTTTTCGCTAACCCTAAGGTTATCTGCCTTTTACCTAAAGAGGCCCTGTCACCAGATCGCTCATGTCAACAACAATCTTCTCATGTGTATTATGTGGATGTTATTTACTTGTAAAAACCTTCTTTGTGTAGACATCCAAAAGCCCTGGGTGCCGCCATCTTGGATGTGATGTCAGCAGGCTCATTCAAATGGCAGGGGTAGGCAACCTTGACCCTCCAGCTGTGGTGGAACTCCAAGTCCCTTGAGGCATTGCAAGACTCTTAACAGCCACAGGCAGGGTTTTCAGAGGCAGAGGCATCATGGGATTTGTAGTCACCTTAGTTGAAGGGCCAAAGTTGCCTAACTCTGCACTATAGTATTCTCCTTCGCTCTTCCCTCCCGCCAACTGTATTATGTAGGGAGGTGAGGGGAGAGGCAGAAGAGGAGAGGGCTATGACCTGGAAGGAGTTGCTTTAAGTTGGTGACAGGGTCCCTTTTTAAAGTGGATGTAAACCCAGTTACTAAAATCTTATGTACGCTTTGACATGATGTCGTCATTGGCAATCCTTTTTAAAACTGCCGTTTTCATTAAAACAGTCCTCGGTGATCCTGCCATGAAAGTCCTCGTTCAGGCACTTCCTGTTATAGCACGGGTGGGCAAACTCCGGCCCTCCAGCTGTGGTGAAACTACAAATCCCATAATGCATCTGCCTGTGGCTGTCAGTCTTGCAATGCCTCATGGGATTTGCAGTTTCACAGCAGCTGGAGGTTGCCCACCCCTGTGTTCCTGGGTGACCATGCTCTGTTCTGGATCACTCATTTGGGGAGATGTATCAAAATCTGGAGCAGTTGCCCATGGCAACCAAGCCGTTTCTGTCTTATTTATTAATTACAGGTATTTATATAGCGCCAACAATTTACGAAGCACTTTACATAGTTGCACATTCACATCAGTCCCTACCCTCAAGGAGCTTACAGTCTAAGGTCCCTATCTCACATGCATACATAGAGGGCCAACTTAGAGAGGAGCCAATAAACCCACCAGCATGTCTTTGTCTTTCATTTTCAAAGCTTAGCTGAGCAAACTGAAGCTGATTGGTTGCCAGGGGCAACTGATCCAGATTCTGTCTGCTTCAGTATTGACAAAATCCCTCATTGTTCTGCGTTGTCACACGCTCTCCCAATGCAGACTGCAAGTGGCCGTTTCAACACACATGACACAGCCATGTGCCACAGTTGTCACCATCAGGAAACCAGTCCTGAGAAATGCCAGGCGCCCCCGCTGGAGTGGATGTAGACAGGAAGTGGCTGCAAAGAGGCTGCATGAGATCATGAGCACCGAGATGCAACTAAAAGGTGAAAACGGCATTTTACGAAGAACTAAAATATATAAATTGTTCATCATACATGGTGCTTAAGTGAGCTAAATATTGTTCAGCTAGATGATGCTGGACGTCCTCCAGCCAGAAAATGAGGTTGGCTCCACCTGACTTGCTGCAGCTTCTAATGCACAATGTGAGAAGCTCGCAGTGTGCAGTGAAATCAGAGGAAGCCATTCCAGTCCAGGAGAGGAGCCGGTACAACTGTACAAGACTGCTGGAAGGGCAGAGGTCATCTTTAAAGAAATGTTACTCCACTATGACAGTCAGGAGCACTTGGAGAAGAGCTGGAAGTAAAAGTTGTACGATGTTCAGTGTCTGCTGCGGTCCCCTGTACTGGAAGTAAAGGTTGTACGATGTTCGGTGTCTGCAGTCCCGGGTACTGGAAGTAAAGGTTGTACGATGTTCGGTGTCTGCAGTCCCGGGTACTGGAAGTAAAGGTTGTACGATGTACGATGTTCGGTGTCTGCAGTCCCTGTACTGGAAGTAAAGGTTGTACGATGTTCGGTGTCTGCAGTCCCTGTACTGGAAGTAAAGGTTGTACGATGTTCGGTGTCTGCAGTCCCCCGTACTGGAAGTAAAGGTTGTACGATGTTTGGTGTCTGCAGTCCCCCGTACTGGAAGTAAAGGTTGTATGATGTTCCGTGTCTGCAGTCCTGGGTACTGGAAGTAAAGTTGTACGATGTTCCGTGTCTGCAGTCCCCTGTACTGGAAGTAAAGTTGTACGATATTTTGTTCAGTGTCTGCGGCAGTCCCGGGTACTGGAAGTAAAAGCTGTACTCGCAGGACTGGCAGATAGTCATGGAGCATCACTGCACTTCCATTGTTTACCCCTTCTACCCCCATAACATAGGGCAAGTACCTCCTCGGTCTAAGGACATTTATTACGTTTTTACAGAAGGTGGGTCTCTCCAGGGCTGCGTGCACATCTCGGCAGGGCTGCATGTGGGTCTCTCCAGGACTCTGAGGGTAAGGGCTGGGCTCCCCAGGGCTGAACGGGCGGGTGTCGGGATTCAGGGCTGTACGGACAGGTGTGGGGCAGTCCAGTGCTGTGCCGGTCTTGGGAAGGAGGAGATGTGCGTCTGGACCGGCACCGACATCTGCTGCAAGGTCCCCAGCAGGCTGCCAGAGGTGCCCAACTAGGGCAGGACTTCAGGCAGCTGCTAGTATTTAAAAATTTTAAGGGCCAGTATCGGCCTTTTAGTATCGGGGCATTTTCACGAGTACTGGTGAAAATACCCTGTATCAGCCCCCAGTACCGATACTAGTATTGGTATCGAGACATCTCTACTTTGAAGATAGCGCTGTTTAAGGGCTCATTCACACAGGCTTGCACATTCGTAC